GGGGATTGGAACCACGAAAGTGGAATAATCCTTCCTTAGTGTTTTGAGTTCAAAAGAATCGGATTTTAACAAACTTTTCAATCGACTTGGCTCATGTTTTCAAAAGAGTTTTCAATAGTTCAATAATGTTGCTTGTATAGAATTGCATTGTTATTTCTTTTGCGTGTTCTAAACAAACACAAACCCTTGCATCTTTTGATTTAGCTTAGTCATTTAAACTCTATGATTATGTAATGTGTGAAATCCAATCCCTTGTGGTTCGACCCCTAAATACTACAATTATATGTTGTGCACTTGCAACACTAGTTGTCTTAGGGAATTATTACTTGTACTCATCCCATAGATGCCGCATCAATCTCATGCCAATTACAAGAGAGAGAGGAGTCCAACACCCAACCACCCTCCCTTTTATTGCAATGCCATCACAAGAAGAAGCACTACTCAAGTCCATGAGGACAATGAAGAAGAAGAAAGAGAGTATGAGGAACAATTGAATGATGAAGATGAAGAGCAGAGCATCGACATCAATGCTTCCCCAAAACAGAGCATGGATACACCAAGCCCTAGAGACCCTCGTTTCTCACCAAGAAGTCAAGCTTCTACACTTCCAAGATTGGAAGCAATGCAAAGACCATCACCACCTACTGAAGAAGAAGATACTTGGCAGTATGATCCCATTGATCCCAACAAGATAAGCCCCATGAAGCTTAAAGAGTTCAATGCTAAGGTGAAATCACTTCCATTCTATGTCACTTTTGAAGAAGCTTGGGATAAACATGGTCTAGTGGAGTTCTTTTTCAAACTAAAGAAGAGATACACCAACTTTTCAGGAAGGCTCGATTTCCCCATTGCCCCTCATGGAGTCAATCAACCACCATCACCACCATCATCACCACCACCTCAGTGGTATGTCAATTCCATATCAAGAGAGAAGCTTGCTGAGTTCAATCAGTTTGTCCAAACTCTTCCAGCCAGCATGTCTTTCAAACAAGCTTGGCGCCACTACCCATTCACCACCTTCTTCCACAACTGCAAGAGACACCTGAGGACATAAAGAGCTTTTTGAGAAAGCTAAAGTTCAGCCAACCTTCAAGACCCTCTACAAGATTGAAGACCCAGGTCAATTCTCTATTCCCTGTCAAGTAAATGGTCATTACTTTGATAGAACACTATGCGATTCTGGCTCTTGCATAAACCTCATGCCAACCCAAACCGCCAAACTCCTTGGCATCACACGCTTGCAACCTGCTCAAATTAGTATTGGACTTGCTAACCATACTATAGCCAAGCCAAGAGGAGTTGTTATTGATGTTCTTCTAGAGATTGGAGATATCAAGATCCCGGTGGACTTTCATGTCATAAACATTCAAGGAGGATGTGACACACCATTGATACTAGGCCGACCCTTTTTGGCCACTGCTGGAGCTGTCATGGACCTTCCAAACCGGCGAATGTCCTTAGCCAATGTGACAAGACAGTCTTTTACAAGACCATACCATTCATCACACCAAACAAGCTGTCTTACCTCATCACTGCCCAAGGCCGCCCAAGAGAGCCACCAGACCACACTCAAGGTCACAATGAGACAAGAACTAAAAGACTATGTCTCAGGCCGTGCCCTTACCCCATCTCCAACTAAGAGATCCTATCAGTCAAGCTAATGACTCAAAAGAAGCGCTGCATGGGAGGCAACCCATGAAAGGTGTTTTTCTTTACTTTTCTTTTCAATTAGTTTTAGTTAATGTCTAGTTTTGTTTTGAGTTTTGGAAACAGGAATCTAAGAACCACACAATGGTAAAGAAGATATACCACAAGAAGAATGTTCATAGTTGGCGCGACTTAGATGGCCGAGCAGAACCTCTCCACGCTCGCCCATGTCCTCTCAAGCCGCCCAACACACCATCCCATCTCATTCCATCTGCATCTCACCCATCCCACCTCACCACACTTGCATTCCATCACTACCATCATTCCACTGCATTCACCATTCTTCAAGTAACACCAAATCAGGTTACATCTTTCTTTTTACATTCACAACCACTTTATTACCTCTTTCTTTAACTCCCTTAATTGGATTTTCTTTCACCGGGACGGTGCAAGTTAAGTCTGGGGGGATTGTCGGTACTAATGTGTTTGTTCATGGTTGTTTTGATCTTATAATTGGTTTTTCCTAACCCACTTTTTCAAAACTTCTGTTTTATTGAGTCAAAACCAGTCCGGGAACAATGAACTTGCTTTGAGATTTGATAGTGTATGCTAACAATCTATGACCCTAGAGCAAACATCAGCTGAAGGCACAAGCCTAACAGAAGCTCCTAGAGTGGATCGCATGCTAGCTCAGCGAAATTTCTAAGGTAACCAAGCAATCTAGAGTTAACCTCACCCTTAATCAATCTTAATAACTCTTGTCAAGGGGATTGGCATACATGTCGACAGTTCCTTGCTTGATTTTCAATGAGATTTGTCTAAAGAGTTCACCTCTCTCTCCCATCCCAAATGGTAAGTAATGTTTATGAGAAAAGCTCAAAGAGCACAAGGAAAACAAGTAAGCATGAGGAATGCATATGTCTGTACCTTCATGTCTTATGGAATACCTTATCAAACAAGGAACAAGCTAAAGACTTATCCTGTGGTTGAAAGAAAGGTCAATAGAAAAAATAAAATGATACCCTAGAAAAGTAGGGAGAAATTGACCTTTCAAAGTTCTGATGTGAGAAAGAGAGAGGAAAAGAACTCATTGCACTTCAAAGACAATCTTGGAGAAGATCAAGTGGGTAAGAACAAGTTCAATTGATCGATTTTCCCTTGATAAAGAACTCACGCTTTAAATTTCTGCAAGAGGTTAACAATAGAGAGTTTGGATTGCTGGATGAGACTAGTTGGGTTGGTATTGTTGCTAAACTTGCAGGGTGTATGTGAAGCTAACCTTATGTTGACTATGTTCTTAGTGGAATACAGGAAAGGAACCTTTCACAGGATTTTCAAAGAAGCAAGAGAGTTCCCACGTTTTTCAAAACCTCTTCACTAGTTTAGATTCTTTTTGCTTGGGGACAAGCAAAGATCTAAGTCTGGGGGAGTTGATATACCTCTATTTTACCTACTTTTTATGCTATTTTACTATGGTTTTCTAATGGTTTTCTAGTGGATTCTTGTGTTAAAAGGTAGTTTTTATGGATTTATAGTGCAAAGAGTCATTTTAGGTAAAAAGGTGCATTATGGAGCAAAACAGGAGATTTGGACTCTAAACCAGTTCAATGCCCCTGCATCAACTTTGGATGGAGCTAGAAAAAGATCTACTCAATGGATTTCATCAAGACCAGTTCCCTGCGTGCTCTGATTGAGTTAACTTTCCAACGCAACTGGAATGGCTTCATTTGGATGAGTAGAAAAGGAGTTATAGCCAAAAGAGTGAAGGCTGCTCCAGACGGCTATATCGAGAATCAGCGCCGAACGCGCAGTCCGGCTGGCCGAGGAACGAATGTTCCGCGCTCGGCCAAAACCGTTCCGTCCGACTGAAGTCTCGGCCAAAGTTCAACCGTCGGCCGATCACGCAACACGACCCGGGAAACATTGTCCCGCGGTCGGCCAAGCAAACGTTCACGCCACGCCGCGCACGACCACGCCGCGCGAGCCGGGAAACAAGCCTCGCGGCCGCGCAACCTTCGCGTACCACGGCCGATGCATCCGTCCGAGCCGGGAAGAACGTCCCACGTCCGGCCGAGAAACCATCGGCCAAATCTCATCCGCCGACCACGCCGGCCGACCATGAAACATCCGGCCACGACCGTTCCGACTCGGCCAAGACCCGACTGTCCGGCCGATCGTCCCGACCGACCGTCCGAACGCCGCGGTCGACCCGAAGCCGTTTTTGAAGCCCAATCCGCACAATTCAAGCCCAAAGCCGGCGCCGACCTAGCTAGATTAGGTTTAGCCGCTTCTTATACTTAGAGCATTATAAATACTTCTTTTTAGCCTTGTAACTCAAGAAGGAGAGAGACCACAATCTATTTTACATCTTAATAAAGTTTTGCTTGCTTTTACTTTGTTCTTGCTTGTTACTCTTTCTAGAGAGGATTCGAATCTCTGTTCTTATGAATATGAATTCGTGTTCCTTCTCTATGTCTGAGTAGTTTACTTGTTAAGTGATAGGAAGTCAAAGGATAGCATTCATGTATGCTTGATGATTGATCACAATTAGGGTTTTACTTATAATCTCCATCTTTGCTTATACTTAATGCTTGTTGTTAATCTGGCCAATTAGCATATGCCTTTAGGTTGATTTGAGCCTCGACAGTGCTGTATCATTCGCCTGAACTAGTATTTGGTGGGCAATCTCTTTTAGACTGCGACAGTTGATCTACTTGTAGGTTGTGAACAATTGATCTTGATCGAACTAATGCTTGATTTAATCACCTAGGGACATACCAAAAGTTTAGCGACTAGGTAGATTAACAAAGGGGTCGGAGCCTCGACAGTGGAATGATCATACCATAGTGTTTCAAGTTCTAGATTAGCACCTAAGTGCGGTAACCCTAATTGATTGATTTCATGCTTCTTGAATTGCTTATCTCAAGACTATCCTATTGCTTAGCCTTTCTCTCCTATTGAATTCTCACTTTTAATTACTTGCATGCTTTACTTTCTCTGCACTCAACCAACTTATACTTTTGCCCTAGCTTGTTCTCAAACTCATAACTTGTAGTGTGCAATCTGGTCCTTGTGTTCGATACCCGTTTACTACTTCTGACCTGTGCACTTGCAGAATCAGGGATAGGAAAGGGGAAGACCTGATCCCGCGATCAGGTTGTCATTTCGGACTGAGGTTCCCATTTCATCAACAAGGTGTTTGAGAAGTTGATGAGAGCTATGGAGTCAAGCATAAGTTGCTACACCCTATCACCCTCAAACCAGTGGGCAAGTTGAAGTCTCCAACAGACAGATCAAGGCTATATTGGAGAAGACTGTGAGCTTCACTAGAAAGGATTGGTCAACAAGACTTGATGAAGCACTTTGGGCTTATAGACAGCTTACAAAACCCCATTGGAAGGTCTCCTTTCAATTTGCTATATGGGAAGGATTGCCACTTACCTGTGGAGGTCGAATACAAGGCTTTATGGGCAGTAAAGATGCTGAACTTTGACATAAAGGCAGCACAAGAAAGGAGGGTAATGAACTTGTTTGAGTTGGAGGAAATCAGAATGAATGCCTATGAGAACTCCAGGATTTACAAGATGAGAACCAAGGCAGCCCACGACAAACTGATTCGCCTTAAGGACTTCAAGGTTGGGGACAGTGTGCTCTTGTTTAACTCCAAGTTGAGGTTGTTTCCCGGGAAGTTGAGGTCAAAGTGGTCGGGGCCATTCAAGATACATGAAGTTCTACCCTACGGATCACTCACTCTGCTCAACCAAGAGGGGAAAGAATTCACAGTGAATGGGCATAGATGCAAGCCCTACCTAGGAATGACCCCCACAGAGGAGATCATCACTCCTCTTCAAGATCCAACCCCGCCTAAAAGGTAAGGTCAAGCTATGAGACCTAAAACAAGCTCACTTGGGAGGAATTCCCATGTCTATCTTGTATATCGCTTTTATCTTTTATCTCTGCATTTTTCTCAGCTAAGTCTTGCAAGGAACAGGTTTTAGGAAGAAGAGGAAAACTCGAGGCACAACTCGATCGAGCCAAGCAAGCTCGATCGAGTGAGGTGAACCCGTCGAGTGGAGTGTCCTGATGGCCGTCTGCCCTCTCCAGACCACGACCTTGCCTCCCAGTTCTTTGGGGGGCACTGAGGTATCAAACACCAACCCTTGTACATACCATTTCATATTTTCTTGCATTTGTTTTTTTTTCTTGGTTTTGCCCTCTTGAATCTTTCACTAAATTTCTCTCACACAAGGGACTGTGTGATTTAAGTTTGGGGGAGGGTTCAAGAGATGATTTAACCTTGTTTTCTTTGTTCTTAGTTTTTCATTTCTTTTGCATAGAAAAACCAAAAAAATCATAAAATTTTCAAAAAATCCAAAAATATTTTCATCTTTTTGCATTCATATTTCTTAGATTGTTTAGGATTGCATCTTTCACTTGCATTGTTGATTTGATTTGAAAACTTGTTCATCATTTGCGATTTCTTGAGTGCCCTGTTTTTAGATTCTCTTGTGCATTAGGGTGAGATTGATTGAGCAGCAAGAACCATGTTTATCTTGATCATATCACTGCATGCACATCTCATTCAACCATTGCTGTGATTTGATGCATTTCCCTATCTATTTGAACCATAACTTGATCTTTAATTACCAATGCTTGCATTTGATTTCAACTCATGGCTACCACATACATATCTGGACATTCTTTACCTATTTTCATATCCCTCTTGCTTGTCCAGATAGCTGATCTCCATCTTTGAGACAGTTACCACACCTTAAACCTAAGCCTTTTCATTTCAAACCCCATTTATCTCTTGTGCGAATGTGAGAACCTTTCTTGGCTTTGCTTAGCATAAGGTGTTGTGTTTAAACCGGCAGGGGCAGTAGTTCTAGTTGTCTAGTTCTCTTGGGATTGTTTTCAGGCTAAGTTTGGGGGTGCCAACTCGAGCTCGATCGAGTTGGGTGTAAAAACCAGAAAAGTGGTAAAAGTTGGGAAAATCCAAAGGAAAAAGAGTTTAGTTAAGTCCAGGGAGTTGGCAGTGTTAAAAAGGGTCTAGTAAAGGTTTGGGAAGTTAAAAAAGGAAGTAAAAAGGGTTCTAAGTAGAATGAAAAGAAGGCAAAGCCTCAAGTGTCAAAAAGGAAAGAAAAGTTCCCTAAGTGTTTAGAAAATCCCAAACCGCTAGATGTTACCTCAAGAAGCCTCTCCCTAGGAAGTTCTTAAAAGAAAAGTGAGCAAAGCTCCTCAGTTTCAAAGGCGAAATGCCAAAAAGGGTAGTTAGGATTTTGTTCTAAAAAGCTCTAAGTGTTGAACTCGATCGAGTTAGGATTAGACGGCTCGAGCTGCTGTTCTTGCATCATCTTTGGTTCTAACACTTAGCCTTCTGCCAAAGCAAAGCCACTTTCTTGAGAGATCCCTGTTACTAAACCACCATACAAAAGAGACCCTCTTTGTCTCTTAACCCATAAACCCTTGAAACCAAATGAGTTGATTGATCTTGCATGTTTTTGGTTCACTGTTTTTGCTTAATGAATGTTAAAGGGATTTGCTGATTTGAATGCATTGTTTGAGTGACTGTGAAGTGGGATTGATGTTGATAAGCATGGTTAAATCTTAATGAATATCTCTCACCTTGTTGCATTCTAGAATCTCTAAGTTGGACATTTAGCAAATCGCTTTTGAGGACATGTTTTTAAGTGTTGAATCAGCTTGTTTTCAAACCTCATCTCTTTCTTGTTCTATTTGTTTGCTTGAGGGCAAGCAAAGTTCAAGTTTGGGGGTGTTGATGTACTTGCATTTTACATAGTTTTAGTACATCTTTTGCATGCATCATATCTTGTTCCTTTTCTCTTCTTATGCATTCATAGTAGTTTTAGGTTGCATTTGCATACATATGCATGTTTGGTCCTTTGAAATAGGTCTTTTGGAGCATTCTGGAGCATATGGGACGTGAGGAGACCAGCTCGGACCACCACTCGACCACCGGTCGAGTTCCTCAACTCGACCGGCCAAGCTTCAACTCGATCGAGCTGAGAAGTCAAAGTCAAACCCGAAAAATGTTGCTTCCCCCTTGACTTTCCTTTGACCCTAAACCTAATGTATTTAAAGGCTAAAAGCCACGAAAAAACCACCAAGCTTTAGATTATTTTGTTTTAGTTTCTTTTAATTTATTGTCTTTTACTTTTTAGAGCTCTAATCCATCTTTGTGTTCTTGAAGCTCTTGCTTCTTGAATCCTAGATCCTGGATAATCTCTTCTGTATTTTGATGTACTTGCATTTTACATAGTTTTAGCACATCTTTTATGCATCTTTTGCATAGTTTTAGCTTCCATTTGCATCATATCTTGTTCCTTTTCTCTTCTTATGCATTCATGTTAGTTTTAGGTTGCATTTGCATACATATGCATGTTTGGTCCTTTGAAATAGGTCTTTTGGAGCATTCTGGAGCATATGGGACACAAGGAGCATGGAGGGACTTGGCACATGGAAGCAGCTCAACTGGATACGCAAAGGAAGAAGGGAGAAGCCATCTTGAAGACCAGCTCGACCGTCCACTCGACCAACCGGTCGAGTTCCTCAACTCGACCGGCCAAGCTTCAACTCGATCGAGCTGAGAAGTCAAAGTCAAACCCGAAAAATGTTGCTTCCCCCTTGACTTCCTTTGACCCTAAACCTAATCCTCTTTGTATTTAAAGGCTCTAGCCACGAAAAAACCACCAAGCTTTAGATTACTTTTGTTTTAGCTTCTTTTAATTTATTGTCTTTTACTTTTTAGAGATCTAATCCCATCTTTGTGTTCTTGAAGCTCTTGCTTCTTGAATCTTAGATCCTGGATAATCTCTCTTTGTATTTGCACTTGCTTATTTCAATAAAAGTTGTTTAATTTCATCTCCTCTTTCTTATGATGTCTCTTTTATTGCATTTGCTTGTGTTTACATTCATGTGTAGTGAGTAGTTACCCATTGGGGTTTGAGATGGGATAGATTAGAGGTTTCATATGCTTAATCCTTCTAGCTTATGGTCTTAATCTAGATTCTCTCTCTTTTGGATAGATCTTAAGGCTACATGACCACTACCCCTGGCTTGTAAGTCCTTAGGCGACTCCCCACACGAAAGTGATGGCATTCGCTGGAAAAGATCCACTAAGAGCTCCAATATCTCTTGCTCTAGACAATAGAGGTCTAAGGGGTTGGATGGATTAGTTTGGGCAATGATCCTATAGCCTCCAAGGTTTGATTCTCACTGGCTAACCCCCTGTTTCTGAGATCATTCCTTGGTTGATAGCCTTCACCTTGGGAAAGGGTTGGCTAGGCATTGAGAAGCCCAATATCAAGAGAAGCCTTGATACAAGGAGTTTTAAGAGCTAGATTGATTAAGTGTAGATTCCTTTGATTGCAAAACCCTGTCTTGAACCCTAATTCTCTCTTATCTTGTTAAAGTCGTCACCTTTAGCTTTGTTTGTCTCAACTCGTCCCTAAACTCGATCGAGCTGGTACTTTGCTCTGACTCGACTCGAGTCTTGGTCGAGCTGACACTTCACTGCTTTGTTTACTTTTATTGCACTGCTTTTCATTTTTTTAGGTTGTTAGTGTTACTTCAAATCTATACTGCTTGCTTGACTTTCTGGTTGTTTCATATTCTCAAGAGTGACAAGTTTCCCATTTTGGATTGATAACCTTTATACTCATGACTATCATGGTTAAGAGGAATTGATTGATTGTGATTGCACCATACCATCATCATTATACCCTGTTTGCATTCCACATATAATATTTGTTCAAAGCTATATGAGATAGACTCTTTGGTTTGGGGTTCTTTCATAAAATTCTACCACCAAACCAATTGAATTACCAATTCTATTACATATATATAAATATATATTAATAATATAGATATTAATAATATAGTTATAAATAATCTATTTATTCTATATATTGAAATATTGAATTTCATCTTCAAGAATATATTATTCTCTATTTCCCTAAAATATTATATTCTATATTGATATCAGATATCAATTTTTGATTAGTTTTTTTTTAGTTATTTATTACTATTTCATATTTAGTAAATTGATATTTATTAATATTTTATTCATATTTCACTCAAGTTCCGGAAGTTTGACCCCCCCCTCTAATTTTTTTGTTTTCTTTATTTGCATTTTATGGATTTATACTTATATTGAATTTTAATGTGTAATTCATGGAATGGGAGGGGTCATCTCATTTTTGGATCTGCAACGAATTAATTCAAGAGATAAGAGAATTAAGGATACCCACCAAGAAGACTAATCCAATCCATAAAGATGTACCAGAAAATACAACATTTTTGTTACTCGACCAACCATCAGGAGACGCAAATACAACGGGTACACTAATCAGTAAGATTGATGAAGTAATAATTAATGCAAAAACAGCCAATTGGAAAGCAATAGTCATGTTTTTAATCCTCCAAGCTATTAACAAAATACACCATTTAATCCTCTTACCCACTAAAAAATTTTAATAAATAAAGGGATTTTATCATGAATCCGTTGATTCGAGATGACTTATTTCCAACTTCTTTTTACCTATCGGACATTAAGTTAAAGGTTCTTTTTGACTTCACAAATGGGTATACTGGATCATGGTATTTATATAGACAGATTTATAGACCTATAAAGTAAAGAAAGTCACACCCTATATCTTTCTCTACATAGTGATCATATTAACTCATAGGGCTATGTTCTATTTGGCAAAAAAAAAATAAAATAGAAATTATCTTTCGGAGAGATGGCCGAGTGGTTGATGGCTCCGGTCTTGAAAACCGGTATAGTTCATAAAAAATAACTATCGAGGGTTCGAATCCCTCTCTCTCCTTTTGTTGGATTAATATTTTTTTCTTT